ATTTATTTATTTATTTATCTATTTATTATTCATTTGTTCGCAAACAGAATGAGATAGTCAGGCATGAGCAACTGAGATCAAGTGTAAACAATAGACTGTTTCCTTGGATGCATACGGCTGGGAAAACAATGTTGCGTAAATAATTCGTTACGACGTGCAATCATCAGTAAAAAGTTGTATCCACTAATCAGCTGCTTCGAACACCTGAAGAGAACAATTATGCCGTACAAAGAGGGTACAAGGCCCATATTGTCGCTGTATGAAGGGCTAAACTAAATGAGCGTTATTTGGTCTGTCATTCAGGTTTTCTTGACTTGTGTTGATCATTTGAATGAATTCATGAAGACATCCACAACCATGTCCAACTGCTTTTAGTTTAACAAAGCTGTTTTCCGATATTGTCGCCTTATTTTCAGGTAACCCAACAAAGGTGGACCAGGATAAACAAGACAAGAGAGTGCCGACAGAGGAGGGCATTCCCCACACACATGTTCCTACCAACTTATCACATGCAGAAAACTGCACACTACTTCAGCAATTTCGAACTGATTTAGGTCCAGGCATGCTTAGCCATGGTTCCAAGTGGCAGTTCATGACTGTCAGCACACAGAAAGATGACCGTTCAGCTGTAGCACCCTTCCGGTGCCTAGCTGCCATGCCACCCAAAGGAAATACAAGGGCTGGTCACCAAAGCCTAGACAGAAGAAGTCGAGAGTCAGTGGTTGGGTTCGAACGAACCACCTTCGGCGAATCCGCACCCTAACCAACTGCCAGGTTGTTTGGCTATCACGCATGGATCACAGACTAAGCCCCGACCATATCAGTGAACAACCAGTTACATAGAGTGCTTTAAACAAAGAAAAACATTGTTCCACTGTGGACAGTATATTATCCTACCGGGCTGTTAGCATATTACAAGGATGGTGACCGCGTGATCCTCAATGCGCCTGGTTGGTGCACTACAAGACAAGGCTGCCAACCGATGACAGTGGCGTTCTTGTTGTCAGTTTCTATCCAGATCACCCGAGTGAGTGTCTGGAGGTATAGGCACCTCGGAATGATTGTGGTAAGCTAGTACTGAGTCCCTTCATCGTCCACCCTTACTCTTTTCTTTACAATAAGGCTTTCAAATAAATCATGGTTGTATGGTAGTGAAGCATCGGTGTTGAACACTGATGTCATGCTGTCGATAAAGATGATGATGATGATGACGATACACATTACGCTGATCAGCTGACAGGTGGAAAACCTTGAACTTACCATTGTGCCTCGATAGTGCTTCACTGCCCCTTTGCCCGGCTGGTCTTCAGCCACGAGGTCGGTAAAAATCCATCCTACCGGTTGCAGACCAAGCCTCTTGGTGACCTCAGCGACATGATCAGGCAATAATGCATCTAACGGGGCTGTCAATTTAACCGAACGCGTTGTGGACTCCTAAGACAGAAGGAAAACAAAGAGTGGGGGAATATTGCGTAGACGGAGAATGCACACAGAGGAAGAAAAAGCCTCACTCCAACAAACAGGAGGCTACCGATCACAGAAAGAAATCGTTCAGCTGCAGCACCCTTTTGGTGCCTAACTGCCATGCCACCAGACAACTGCACGAGGACTGGGGTACTGCCAGGTTGCACAAGCCTAGACAGAGGAAGTCGAGAGGCAGAGGTTGGGTTCGAACCACGGACCATCCTGCCAGTAAATTAGCGATCTGACCACTTGGGCCATCTCGCCCCCGATCACAGGGACTCCATCCTAGTCCAAAAGTTGGTGAATACTCTACGGATTGTCACATGATCACAGCAATCTAATTGTCCGGCTGCACAGGTAGTTACAATGAAAACCGCAGAGGCCTTCCATCAGTGTCTCTCTCGGTAAGGAGAAATGGAATAAAAGAAGACAATTTTATCGGACCGTGTCAATGCAATCTGCACAAACAGCGAGCGGCACTGAAAACTAAACTGTCCTCCTGATATACACCTGTTCTGTTGAAGCTAGCTGAGCAAAATCCAATTGAATCATGTTAGATTTGAGTTTAACATCAGCACTAATTAGGACAGCGGCATAAAGGAAACTACTCACAAGGTTGGTGAAAACCCTTCGACAGTCCACGACCGGTTTCGCTCTTCTTGGGGCTAACCAGGTAGGCGCAGTCCCCGAGTTTCCGTCAAACTTATGTTCTACTTGAACAGCGGCAGCTTCAAGCCAATCAGTTCTCCTTTGATCAGCTCTCTCCCAAAAAGTTTACAGCTTTCAAAATGTCGACAACTTAATTTTCCGAGGATATAGATCTACATTTTCCATTTTCCAGCTTGTGAATCGTCTATACAAAAAAACGAGCTTGCCCCCCTGTGTTGGTGTTAGGCGGAATTCCACACTCTCTCCTTACCGCTCACAATCAGGTGCTACTACAGCCGAGAAGTCCATCCCACGCAAGATTGGCCAAGAATTCGGGACGCTTGCTGGTCCGGCATCAAGACGGGGTCCGATTGGTCTAAAGTCTGAACCCAACAGACAATCATGACCCAATATTGGCCAAATGCCGGTTGCCAATGGCGCATCCAGAACGCGTCAGAAATTCCAAAAAGTTATAACCATTTACGCTATATATACGAAGCGCTTTACAAATGTTCTTGACTTTGTTTTGAGCATTAATAGACCTTGTGCATCTTTGGTGGTTGTTTTGACGTGAACGCTAGCTTGGGAGGCTCAGATCGAGAACTAAGCTGAGAAAAACACCGTTACTCATTTCATGTTTCTTAATGGGTCTCTTATCATTGAAGGATATTTGGAATATGTATATTCCCAGTTGTTTCATCTCCATATCACCTTCGGCTTGAGGCAAACATATTACGAGCAAAAGTAGTGAGGAGAGGACTTTCGGGTCTAGCAAGTTTCGTTTTTCATGCGTTACCAGACCACAGGTCGTTTCGACTGCGTCAATCATCCTCACAGCTTTCGCGTTCTCGAGCCCCCTCCCCATTCTGCGCCCAGCCAACTTCCACTTTTATTCACAAACGGAGCTGTCATCCGCTTCAGAACTACGCCGATGGACCCACGCACTTTGGGGTCAACGCCATGGTCGAGGGTATAAATGACTCGCTCACTCTACCATAACTGTGTAGTTGTACGTCCGTGAAGTTTTAAAAACGGGTCGAACCATCGAGTTCAGTGCAGCATAGAACAGCTTCTATAGGTCTGGCATCGAAATGTTGACAGCATCTCGGGGATTGCGCCAACTTGAAGATCACAAAGAAAAGAGAAACCGGTGGACTGTCAAAAATATTTCAGCAACCTTATGAGTAGTGTGTTTCGTCTATACGACGTATTGGGATATCTAGAACATCGGAACAACGGAAACATCAGAAGGCCTGGTGCAGCACATTCCGCTGAGTAAGAATATCATAAACAAGAGATTCAGCTGGGTTCCAGGTGGTGTCCCGTCAAAACCAAATTGGTATGCAGATGAGTGTATAAGTCGAGTGATTGAAAATGCATGTCTGGTCCAAACCATTTCGTTGCCTAGCTGTCATGTCCCCGAAAGAGGCACAGAGGCTGGGGTATCGCCAGGTTGTCTAAGCCTCACCACTAACACTATCATCAGCTGTATAAAACCGCGTACTAGTTGTACACTGGTTACAACTGACACAGTTCCCTTCGCCGGTGATTCGGGGAGGTGGGTAGATGGCTGTGCATTGTAGGCAGTAGCCGATATGATTGATGCGTACACACTGGGGTATCAGTAGACTTTCCAATGGGATTGGGAGTGGAGCTATGCATTGAAGCTAACTGCTTGGATACATGAAGGCTGTTGACAAAAAGACTGGGCCTTGTCTGAAAACGTCTCCAAATATTGGTGTGCCGCCTCGGGGTCCCCGTCAAGGGAGCAAGCAACGATCAGCGCAGCTGAGTTTGCAGGTCATGGCTTCCATACTTCGCTCGATTGCTTCCACATTTCGCGTGGTTGTGCTCTTCGAAGAAGTCGGCCAAATGACATACGTAAGACGTAAGCAGTGCTACCTAAGCACTGCGATCAGTTAATCCATCGACGGCAAGTTATTTCTTCCAAAAACCTAGACAGAAGCAGTCAAGATCCTGGAGTGAGCTCGCACCTTATCCGCTGATCTAGCCTAAGCTCAAACGATATGACGCGCTAACAGCAACAGTGATAATGATAATGAGAGAATGATTGTAAGACATAAAGAACTAGCAGTGATTTGTAGGGGATCAAGAAGCAATATGAACAATGACACCTGATGCAGTCTAAGATACCTCAGACAGAATTTAGCAGGAAAACAATGAACGGATGGCGTATTACCTGAAGTGGTTCGTAGATAGCCGCAACCACTGCCTTGATTGCTAATGGAGGGGATCCGGCGGTGTCGAAATGGGCATAACGACCCAAGAGGATACCGATTCGTTGCTCACCAGTCTGCCGCCAGTAGTCCAGGAAGGTTTCCATCAACTGTCCGTTCTCAAACTGCACGTAGTCCACGTGACGATAGGGCTGGATTTCTAAAGTGACTGGGTTCGGTTGACACTTGGTACAAATCCCTTCGGGCCAAGGTGGGTGACCTTGACACCCGGACCGCACTTTGCAGCTAAGATTTTCCAGGGTTACATATTTGCCCCTGGATGGGTGTGAGAGAAACAGGATAACGAATGAAATGCAGAATGGATAGATTGGGAAGGATCGAGTGCGAATCTGGAATAGATGCGGTTGTAAACATTCCGCGCGACCTGGGAAATTTGTACGTTCTGTCCAGCATATCTTAAACTAGGATAGGCATAGCCAATGGCATGTGAATGAAGTATCACGATGAGTAAAACTTGCACGATATGAGGTACTGTGCGAATAACCACCGAGCGAATAGCTCCAGAAACAGGAAAAGAACCACTTGTGTGCTTCTTTACGGTCCAAGACGAAGATTGCCTTGGAAAGAATAGTGCCAATTATTAATTAATTAATCAACCAATTAATTAATTAATTAATTAATTAATTATTAATATTAGTTATATTAATTACGGTATTCTGCAGGAGCTCGAGATAGGTCAATGGTTAAAGTTCGACCAGAAAGTTCATGGCTCGAACCAAACCCAAGCACCCCAACCGCTTTTGTCAAGGTTTGGACAAACTGGCAGTATCTCAGTCAAGCTGCTTTCTTCTGGCGGAATCTTCGAAAAAAACCGTTCAGCAGTAACATCCTTTCGGTGTTATCCGAAGGAAGCAAAAGGGATGGGATACTGCCAGGTTCCCCATGCCTAGATAGATGCAGATGGAGATGCAGAGGTCGAGTTCGAACTACGGACCATCCAAAGGTGAACGACTAAAAAGTCCTTGCACATGATCACCAGCAATAGTGAACGCCCGTGGGACCTGGTAGGTGTTCGCTGTTTGGAGTATATTGCTGCGACTCGACTTTAACATGAAGAATGGAAAGATGAAAGATAGAAAGAAACCTCTGCATAAAACCCAAGCCATAACATGGGAGCCAGAAAGTCAAAAACCAGGGTAACCATTAGGACCACGTATAAACATAACAGCGAAGAGCGAGGAAAAATGCTGATCGTCTGGCATCCCGGAAGGGACAACGAAGGAGTTACGGACGGATTCAAACGACCGCCAGTCCAACCAAGATCTCGCACTACTTCCTACCAATTCCTATCAAATTTTTCGTCGCCAAAGGTTGCGCTTATTTTGAACCGTAACAGATAAGACCTTATCGGTACTGGAAATTACTTTAGTTACGTTTCTAGTGGAAATTTTGGAAGCGAGATGGCTCAGTGGTTAAAATGAGAACTTACTGACCGGAAGGTCTGTGGTTCAAACCCGACATCTGCCTCTCGATCTCTCCTGTCTAGGCTTGGGTAAACTTATAGTATCCTAGCTCTCATGCTTCCTTCTGGTGGCATGGCAGCTAGGCACCCAAAAGGTGTTACAGCTGAACTATTTTTAGTAGAAACTTTATTGAAACGCTCCAGTGATCACCATGAGATCCACCCTGCCTTTTAGCTCAACCATCGGAGTGTTATGTACTGAATAAGAGACATTCAAGCTCTCATTTCTACCCAACTTTCGCAAGGATGCTTTATCGGGACGATTGCTTGGGTCTACACGACAAAAGTGAAATCCCCTTCGGATGCCACCGGGGCACTTCAAACCTCTGCAGTCTATTGGCTGCTAAAATCTAGTCAACCGCAAGCCAACAGGAACAAAGTTACAATGCTTGTATTCCTCGAAAACAGTCCCATTTGGGTTCAAGTAGAACATAAGGTTGACGGAAACTCGGGGACTGCGCACACCTGATGAGCCCCAAGAAGGGCGAAACCGGTCGTGGGCTGTTGAAGAATTTTCAGCAACCTTGTGAGTAGTCTCCTTTATGAAAAGTTACGATGCCCTTCTCCGGTGAACGAACGATTCCTACAACTTGAAGCTGACCAGTTGTTGAAAGAGGACTTATCGAACCTTCGACCTCCCCTTGAATGACACAGGTAGTCAAAAGGGCAATAGTGAGTGGCTACACTCAAACCGTCAATCGACTCACCTATCCAGATGCGCATCACCTGCCAATACTGGATAAAATAGTTGAAAATATATGACGCTACGGAGCGTATTGTATTCTAAACCTCAAGAGCGCCTATCAATGAAATCTGATAGCCGAGAAGGAAAGTGTACACCACTACCGAGGCTTGGGGTACACTCTTCCATTTTCGCCGCATCCCATTTGGTGCGACTAAGAACGTTTTATGTATTCAGCGCACAACAGAATAGTAGTAACGAATCTGTTCCTATTAGATGTCCCGGTTTGTGAACGAAACAACGCAGGACAAGACCGTGATATGTACTCATATCCGAGCACTCTGTCAAACCATAACCCGTTGTAGAGAAAATGGAACTTGTGATGTACGATCTGCAGTATGTCCATACTGTTCACGCCGCTAGGCATCGGAAGGGTGTTACGACAGCTAAACCAAAAACCTGATACAAAATACGGAAAACGGTATTGTGTTCTAGGTATGATATCCGATTATAAAGTATTCCAGCACCTCCAATGTTTGCACATTTAACTTATCAAGCCCATAAACTAATATAAATGACGTCTAGGCAACGTTCTTTGAGTGCCCAACTTTCAGACCGCCATAGAGAGGGACAAGGGCTAGGGTACTGCCAGGTTGCC